ATGGTAGAATTCCCTAATGTCTTAATTATCCATATTTTTAGTTTTATTTTTGTTTTAACATGATAAAATTGATTGAACTAAATGAGCTTCGAAACTGAAAGATATTTTTGAGTATGAAGAAAATCCTCAAAGAATCATTAAAGCTGAACTTAATAGAATTTGAACATAGTTTGAATATTGATGATCATGCTCTTAATATACTAGCCCAAGGATCAAGTTTTCAAAATTTAATATACTAGCCCAAGGATCAAGTTTTCAAAAGAAATGACTTCATTCTTAAATGAAAAGGAAACGAAATATATTTATTTGATTATAGGAAAAAGTGATTCTAGAGAAGAAGAAGTCAATTCTCAAGTAAAGATCAAAAATGAAGAATTGATTTTGAGAAAAAAAATATTGATTTTTGGAAGACAGAAGCTATAAACCTTGTAAAGAGCTAACATCTAAAAGACAAAGAATTAATTCTGGAGAGACAGAATGCAGAATAAGAAAGGCGAAAAAGAAAGAATTGATTTTACAAGGAAAAGAAGTCAGTTCTTGAAGCACCAAAAGTACAACTCAGAAATTTAGTGATTAAGAAAGGCATGGCACAACTGGACAAAAGTGGAGCGGTAAAATTCAACCTTGAATGCAAATTTTGGCACAAATCCACAGTGAAGAACCAACATCTTGAGGCAAAAGAATTAATTTTTCAAGATTGCAAAAGTGCCACCTTTACACCCAATTATAGAAAACTGACACCTAAGAATAGAAGAATCAATTCTTCAAAGACAGAAAACTACAAACTTTACAAAGAATTGACAACTCAACTATAAAGAATCGGTTCTACAGAAGTGATAGATTTTTGCAAGCTAAGTAGAACATACAAGAAATGATTCAAAACTTACTCCAACCGGGTAGAAAATCTAAAAGGCTATAATTATCCATCTTAAGGACATTAAAGCAAGAAGAAAAAAGGATTTTGAAAGATTTTGAATCATCTTTGAAGAGGAAAGAGCGAAAAAATGAGAAAAACAACTGAGACCAAAAAGTTCCCACCTTTGAGCAAGCAAAGAGCCTAAAGTTCATATCTTTATCATTTAGCTTTCTTAAGCTTAGACCGTTCTTGATCATTCTTATTTTTGTGAAAGCTCACACCTTTTTGAACCGAGACTTCTTCATCAACTTTTCTAGAGGTCTTTAGTTTGTGGTTCACTAAAATCCACGGTTGTATTGATTACACCTCCAAGCAAAAGGTAGAGGGGTTTTACTTGATTCTTTAAAAGGCTTTTTCTTGTGTAAAGGTTATGCTTTAACCTAAAAAAGGCAATGTTTTGGTAAATGTTGCACCTGATCTTGGAAAAAACAAGTTGTGGAGGTTACACTTGATATTGCAAAAGGCATATTATAAAGGTTATGGCTGATCATGTTGAAAAGGCAAACTGATAGTAGATTCAAACTCTTTGTGCTATCAAGGAAGATGACGTAGGCATTGGAAAGCTGAACCTTTACTAATGTTCTTCTACCTCTTGACCTTTGAAATTGAATCCCATATTCTTATGCTCCTTTTGATATAATGTTAACTCTATAATATGGAGTTATTTAGGCTTAATTTCGATAATAATTTAGCGTGGTTCTCGCAGTAATGCATAGAAATTAGTATTATTTAATTATTTTAAATTAATTATTTTAAGTGAGTCAATCTAATCTTAGTTAATTTTATGCTTAATTTGTTGTTAATATGGTTAAGATAAGTTGTTATTGATTTATGCATGTTTTTGTAAGTGTTTGATGAAGAAAGAGTTTTAATGGAAAAAAGAGAGCAATTTTGAGGTGTAAACTTTCACTGTATATGCTTCTGTATTTTAGCCATAACTTTCTCTACAGAGCTCCAAATGAAGCAATTCTTAAACCATTGGAAAGATAAGAGAAAAATCTATAACTTTTAATTTTATTACTTAACCTAGATCAGCCTAGAATGTGGTCAAAATCTTATCGAAGTTGAGCATTGCAACAGACTTAGAGTAATTATGATTTGTATTTTTTAATTATTTAAATTTTTATTTGTGTTTTTTAATATTTATTTTTTAATATTTTTAATTTCTATTTTTATTAAATATTAATAATTTAATATTAAATTATTAATATAAATTTATATTTTTTCTTTATTTTCATCTTTTCATTTTTTTTCATTTTCTTCTTTTCTTTCCTTTTCTTATATTTTTCATCATATTTTTCATCGACTATTGGATACCTAGCTAGCGATGTTGAAGTGCTAATTTACTAGATCTGGTCGTTCGAACATTAATCTAACATTTGCTGCGATTAGATCTGGTTGTTGAAACGTCAATCTGCCTAGTGGTGTCACTAGAGTTGACGTTGCTTATGACCAAATCGATACTCCAATAGTCAGATCTAATCGCAACAAGCGTTAGATCAGTGCTCCAACAATTGGATCTGCTTGCAACTAGTGCCAGATCGGTGTTCCAATGGCTAGATCTGGTCACAACTAGCTCTAGATCAGTGCTCTAATGGTCAAATCTGGTGGCAACCAACACTGAATTGGGGCTCCAATGGCCAGATCTGGCTGCAACCAATGATAAATTAGTACTCCAAAGGCAAGATCTAGCCACAACCAATGTTGGATTGGCTTTCCAATGGCCAGATTAGGCCACAACTAGTGCTAGATTGATCATCCAACAGCCAAATCTGGTCACAACTAGTGCTAAATTAACGTTCCAACAACCAAATCTAGGCACAACCAGTGCCAGATCGGGGCTCCAATGGTCAAATTGGTTGCAATTAGCGTCGAATTAGTGCTCCAAAGGTCAGATCTGGTCACAACCAATGCTAAATTAACATTCCAACAATCAGATTTAACTGCAACCAATGCTGAATTGGCACTCCAAAATCACTATGGTTTCTCTTATGGTCGATGGTGGAGAACTTGGTGATGATAACCGCGAATGACAGAAATGGCTATGGAGGAGGACAGTTGTTAATTGCTTAGAAAAAGAAGAGGTCAGAGGTAAATTAAGAAAAGAGAAAAAAAAAGAAAATGAGAGAAAAAACCCCTTTTATAAGGTTATGGTTGTCATTATTTCTATTAAATAGGGCACATTTTCGTCCAATGATATTTTATCATATTTCAGTAGCTCTGGAATGGCTAATATCCAGGTTTTAGGATAAATCTAACAAAACCCTTACTTTGCCATGGATTCCATATTAGTAAGAAAGGAAGTAGGTTTTGGGAATATAAACATGGGCGTTCTACCACTTATCAAACATATCTTTTGGATTGGAAACGTGGGCTTATAATTATAAGTTTACTTAAATTTTATTTTCAAGGTTTAAAACTACATAAGATTGGACTTAAGTTTCAGCCTGTGATAAATGGTATCAGAGTAAACTCAAATCTTTATTAATGTAAGCCCTTATAAGAGATGTAAAAGTTGAGATAGATCCAAACTAATATAAGAGTCTCTCTTTTCTATAGGTAAAGAGCTAGTGTAACGAGGGCATTGCCAATTGAGTGGGGTAGAATGTAAATCTCACATCCCTAAGAAATAGGGTGGGTCTTAGAAATATAAACATAGATTTTCAATCACTTATCAAACATGTTTTTTTGATTGAAAATGAATACTCATGATTTATAGACTTACTTAAACTCTATTTTCAGAGTTTAACGCTGTGCAAGATTTGACTTAAGTTCTGGCTCGTAACATACTTTACGTTTTAAATTTTTATAGATCTCATAATTTGATAATATATAATTAATTATATTAAAAATATATAAAATTAGTGGTAAACTATTTGTAGTTTCCACAGTCACTCCCCTCCCCCCACCCCCTGGCTACGAAGCTCCCCTCCGACGACAATGGTTGCTGCTAAGAAGACCAAAAAGACCCATGAGAGCATTAACAACAGTTTGGCTCTTGTTATGAAGAGTGGCCAATATACTTTGGGTTACAAAACTGTCCTCAAATCTCTCATAACCAACAAAGGGAAGTTGATTATCATTGCTAACAACTACCCTCCTCTTAGGAAGTCGGAGATTTGAGCATTATGCCATGTTGTCCATGGTTGGAGTTCACCATTACAATGGAAACAACGTAGACTTGGGCACTGCATGCAGCAAATATTTCAGAGTGTGCTACCTTAGCATTATTGAACCTGGTGATATGATATTAGTAAGAGCCTGTGCGGTGATCACTATACTACATAGGATCGCCCTAAGTTTTGTTCAGATTTAGTTTCTATTTCTTGGGTATTTGGAAACATTAATCTCAAAAGAGAGCTTCTTTTGAAATTCAGAACTTTGTTTGTAGCGCATCTGGGTGTTTAACGTGAGTCGGTGATGTTATTGTACCATGTACTACGGATTTTGTGAATGTATTTCTTTTAAGATCATTACTTTTTGCTATATTTTTTTGTTCTTCTAAAATAATAATAATATATAAAAATTAAAATAATTAATAAAATATCTATATAATCTCATATTTCTAATAAATATCTATTTTCTTTCGTTTTTCATTTTTTATTAATTTTTATTAATTATTTTATTTTTTATTAAAATATATAAAAATTACAATAATTAATAAAATAATATATTTTCTCATCTCAATCATTATGTGCCTAATAACTCAATTATTTCTTTTTATTCTCAATCAACTAACCATAATATGTATTTAATGATTTACAACTATTATTTATTTTTCTCTATATAAAATTAATTATTTTTTTAATTTATAATATTTACTTATGAATTTTTTTTCTCTTATTTTCTATTTCTTTCTTAATTTTAATAAAAAAAATCTTATTTTCTTAATTAAAAAGATCTTCTGCTAATAATTAGCGTGACCTATAAAAAAAAAAACACCCACACCCACACAACTCAAGCAATGCGCAAATCATTACAACAGTGAGACGGGATGCAAAACGCTGTCACCAAGGTTGCTGTTGTGGGAAGCGGAAGTATAAAAACGATAACCCACCTTTTCTCATCTCTATATATTCTATATTCACAATTAATGGTTGTTTTTCCTTCCTTTTTTAACATTAAGAGTTTTAAATTGACAGTTTCAGGAGCTGTTTGTGCGACCACTCTGGCAAGGAATGGAATTTCTGTGACCCTTTTTGACTCTGCTAGAGGTCCGGGTGGCCGCATGTCTCAAAGAAGGTTCCTTTTATTATTCTTCTTTTTTTTTTGTTTCAAATTCTTTGTCAAAATTTGACTACCCATCTTTATATTTTTATTATTTGCTGGTTGTTTGAGAGCAAAAAGGATTTTTTAATACTTTAATTTCAATAGTTTAAAGGATTTACCAAGAAAAGAAGAAAAAGTTGATAGTTGGGTGGATTTTTGTTGCTATTATAATATTTACAATTGGTATTGGTTGGAAAAACTTTGAAATTAGAGAGATAACTGAAGATGGGAAAGAGCTGTTGTTCGACCATGGTGCTCCTTATTTTACAGTAACGAATCCTGATGTGCTGAGTGTTGTGGCTGAGTGGGAATCAAGTGGCCTTGTTGCTGAGTGGAAAATAAATTTGGGGTCTTTTGATTGTTTCTCCAACAAATTTGTCAACTTTGAACACCAGGTTCTTACAACTATTATTATAATAGATACACGTGTCCATGACTCTGTAGATTAAAGTAGTATATTTTTATTTGCTCTTTTAGTCCACTGCCTTTTACTAGTATTTGTTTATTTGCATGATTATGTGTTTTAACTTGTTTATGAGGGCAGTGATGTTTTGAATTTCTTGAAATAAAGTTATAGCAGTCTGTTTGATTTGAAACAGCCTGAAACATATTTTTCTTCCTTTTAAAGCTATATATGATGTTAATGATCCTTGATATAGCTGCTTCTGAAGTGCTTGCAGCCCCAGGAACAGAGATATTATATCTAGAAGGTGTGCTGCTTGCAGTTTTTTTTTTTTTTGTGTGTGTTCTTCCTATCTACCTATTGGGCTGGTCTGGGTTTCTTTTATTTAACCATTCATCAGCTTAGGACATTACGATTGTCTTAGTTTTTCAACTCAAAAGTCAGTGCATCTATGTAAACTGTTGCACAATTTGTCAGTGTCCAGCTCTGTTATTGTATTGTAGACAATTTTTTCTGTACAGATTTCTAATTGGTTTGTTTTAAAAACTGGTGATAGTCTATTCATTTGCAAGGACTCTATTGTTTTGCTATTATTTCTTAAGCTCTTTGGTCGATACACTACAGACTCTTTTCCTTGTGGTGTATGTTCAAGTAAGAAAATGAAGGGGGCACCATTCGATTCAGTCTTCTGTCTTTTGCTATATAGGGCTATAATTTAATGCCAACTAAAAAGTGTTTGCATAATAAAACTAAATATTTTTTTTAAGCCTTGTTGTAATCAAATTTGTTCATGCACATTTATTTCAATAGATGGAAAAGCTAAATGTGCGGGTCTCATTGCATTTATCACCAAGGAAATTGTACGCATCCATTATGTTTTCTTTCTCAACTGGTACTAATTTTCCTGAACTAATTCTCCTTTAGGAAAGACGAAGCAAGAAATATGTTGGTGTGCCTGGAATGAATTCCATTTGCAAAACATTATGCCATGAGCCTGGTGTGTAGCAAGATGACTGCTTTATTTTTGAATTACTCATCAAGGTTGGGTAGACATCTAAATTTCTTTGCTTTCTACTTTATCTGTTCTTCAGGAGTAGAAAGTAAATTTAATGTGGGTGTCGGGAAGTTTGAATGGTTAGAGAACGAGAATTTATGGTTGTTGACGGGTTTGGATGGACAGAATCTTGGTCATTTTAAGGGAGTGGTTGCATCAGACAAAAACATTGTTTCCCCAAGGTTTACAGAAATAACAGGACAATTACCCCCTCTTGGTATGAAAGTTTATCTTTGGATGTTTGTTAGTTCCTTCTTGCAAATCTGCATGTGCGTGCTACTTCATCGTTTAGATATCCTTTATGATTTATAGGACTGTTTTAGGAAGACAGTCTGTCTGATGCTTCGGCAGTATTGTGGCTATTGTCACTGCACTATATGTCTTATTGCTTGGCAATTTTGATAAGCCTGTCTAGCTGACAGACCAGACAATTTTAATCTTCTATAAGGTAGCCCTGGGTAGACCTGTTACAAAGGCATATGATATGCATATTATGCTTTATCTCCCATCTTTTGCTCTGGACCTTTCAGATGACTCTGTTCTATTCACTTTCTATCTTCTTTTAATTCTTGGTAGTTTTTGGAACAAATTAGCAAATCATCATTATTAGGGTTTAGATGCCAGCCATCAATTATGGTTTAAATGAACAATACTGCAATAAATGTTTTTGTAGGTGAGTTATTTCATAGTTACTCTCACCCATCAAAGGTCCATTTACGTGCTTTGCTTTTATATTTTTTTAATCAGTGTTTATATGGGTTGCTTGAGGTCGTGTTTTTTCTTTGGTAAGCTTAATTATTTGTTCTCCCCTATTCTAAATTTGATTTTCTCTCTCTAGTTTTAGCTTTTACATATGTTGTTCCTTTTCATTTCTTTCCTTCTATAAAAGCATGATACAAACCAGAGTATAGTTTACATATACTCATTGGCAGAATTGCATACAGAAAAAAAATGATGACCCTCCTAAGCATCCTAAAACCCATGCCCAAGTGGCTAAAATGTAAACAACTGTTTCTCATATCAAGTATTGGAGCCCATTTGCTAGATTGAAATCTGAGAACAGTTAGATCTAGAGAATCAATCTCAGCCACTGGATTTATCTAAAAATAATGAGTGACGTGGGTATGATCTCTGTACTTGGCTTGTGGTGGGTTTTGCTGCTGATGGTAAGTTGGTTACAAATAAAGTGGCTGAAGATTGATAGTTGTATTACTGTGAAATGATTAGAGTTTGATGCAATATAGTTGCTGGAACCTGGCCATTGAGTTGCTTGAAATTCAGGGCAGAAACATATTTTCCTTCAAATAAAATAATTGCAGGGTCTATGTGGCAGAAATAGATCATAATGGAATTTTAGGGCTTAACTCTAAGAAAGCAGATTTTACTTGAATTGCATAAGAGAGGAAGAAAATAGGTTAAACTCAAATGACATGTTTGTTGTTCTATAAACTGTATCCTGTTGATGCAACTCAAAAGTTCTCCAAGACCTTAGCAAGTAAACTCTACCAATCTGTAGGTACAAAAATATATAGGCATATACTTACTGATCCAAATTAGACCTAGTAATCTAGGAGGGAAATGTGAAGTGAATTCATTGCATCTATGTGATAAGGAAGTGTATCCTTCACATTAAGTAGCCTCCAAAGTTCATTTAATATATTCTTGTAACTGTGTAAACTTCGGATCTATTTTCTACCAAATCAACAGTTTAGGCATCTTCTTTTATTATTTTTTAAGGAAAATAGAGAGCAAAGAAAATGGCATATGTTATTGACAAGTTGTTTTCCTCACTATCAGTCTGCTGTATTCCATGCAGACTTGAGTTTGGCTCCAGAGTTGGTGAAACTGCAAAATATTCCTGTTAATCCTTGTTTTGCTCTAATGCTAGCATTCACCGATCCTTTACCTATGGTGAGATATCATCCAACTCGAAAATAAGAGCTTTATTCTGCAAAATTAATGTGGCTGGTTGATCCAAATTGCTTATTTGTTTAAATCCCCTCCCCCCTTTTTTTGTTTCTACTTCCTTTTGCTTCTAGATACATTTTCTTATTAATTTCTTATTTATTTATATTTTTTCCTGTGCCCATTTATTTTGTGATTGACCAATGTGCTCTTGACATCTTATTGAAGTTTGATCATTCAGGTACCAGCAAAGGGCTTCTCGTTCACCAATTCTAAGGTTTTAAGCTGGGCTTACTGTGAAAGCAGCAAGCCAGGGCGTTCTTCCACAAGGTACATTTTTGTATATTGCATACTGACCCAATTTCTGAGCCAAGCAATTAAAGTCCCTTTTTTTTGGGGCATTCTTACCTTGCTTGCTTCTTAAATGCACAGTGAACGATGGGTATTGCATTCAACAATGGAGTATGCAAAGGATGTGATTGCTCAAACTGGCCTTCAGAAACCTTCAAGAGAAACATTATCAAAAGTGGGCAATGAAATGCTCCAAGAATTTCTAGGCACAGGTCTCAGTATTCCGCAACCATTTTTCAAGAAAGCTCATAGATGGTGAGTCTATAAATTAAAGTCATTAATTCAATTACAGAAGCAGCAGTTTGTTATCATTTTGTTTAGTGAGTAAAGCTATAAATCGTCTTTTCTCTTCTGTGTGAAAACAAGATTAAACCTTGCAATGTGTTTAGTCCCAGACAGATGCAGTGGTAACTGATTAAGATTACTTTGCATTTGTATAGAATGTGGCCTGGTGTTTCTCTTCTAGCTGATTCTCAGGACAATTGTTGGCTTAATATTACAACTGATTAAGAACATTTTAGATGGAAAAAAAAAGAAGAAGAAGAAACTAGAAGAAGAAATGATGGAGACCGGAAAGGAGATGTTTGAAATAAGGATCTTAGCTTGTAATTTTGTTTTATTTTATGAGTTAAATTGTCATCTTTATATAGATTTAGGTAATTTTTTGTGTTGAATCGTCATCTTTATGTAGATTTATATTTTTTCGTTCCATGTTATGAGTTCAATTGTCATGTTTGAAATAAAGACTAATCTAATAATAATCCTGCTGATTTCAGCTGATGAGCTTGTTTTTAGTGTATTTAAATGTTAAATATTGTAGTTGTGACTGTCTTAACGAATAAATGACACTTGTTCTTAAATAAGTTGTACTAGCATTCAAGTTCAGATAAATTTTTGTTGGCCTCTGTTAGCTGATGGAGGATGCTGGCAGCAACCATCAAAGGTGTTTGAAAGGCCTGCTAAGCTGGTTTTAATGTCCAAGCCTTAATTTGGATGATGTCCTATGATGGGAAGCTTAGTTATGAGCTTGAATAGGCTGTCATTAGTTGACATTGAGTTTTACTTGTATGTATCTTTGAGTTAAGAAGTAGTAGGATTTATTTTAGTCTTTTTTTTATGTCCTATGAGTCGTTTGGAATTAATCTTGCTAGTTTCCTATATAGTGTCCGAGTCATCAATAAAGGCTCAGTTTTGCCCAAGTGGTTAACAAGCAGTTGTACTCTGTGTTTGTGTCAAGTAAAGCAAGCTATCAACCTTAAATGTGACGCTTGGAGAACCTAGAGAAAAGCTAAGAATTCTGTGTCTTTTTTCTTTCTTCTCCAATTTCTGGAACTCAACTTAAAATTTCTTATCTGTAAGCAATTATTTTAATTCCATATGACCCTAAATACCTCCTTTTCCAAGGACCAATCATAACTAAATCAATTCGCTATTAAAATTCAAGTCTAGGATCCAAAGCACATTCCTTGGGTGCTGTTCACAAAACTGGATAGCATTCAAGGAATCAGCTAAACACCTGGTTTGTCTGTACAGTCTAAACCCTGTATGAGTCCTTTGCGCACCAGAAGTATTATCTATATTAATCTCCATCCATTTTTCCCTCGAATAACCCTAGGAAATAACTTTCAAAATACTTAACAGCATTCTGTCCTGCATCACTGGTTCAGCTCTGGATAGCATTTTCATCTTTCATGTTAATATCATTTTTCAACAACAAAATTCATACTTTCTGGGATGCATATTGCAGCTGCTCTGCATCATCACACTCTGTCAGAAATGGGGTCTATAAATTCTCTTACGTGCTCGATATTTCTACTGTATTCCTTTCTTTGTTTGTTGTCTGTTTTGTTAGTTACTTCAGACTTGGTTGCTGTTTTTCAGCCTGTTTCTTTTTCTTTTTCTTCTCATTGTCAAACTAACCTGCTTTGATTTGGTTACAGATTTACATATATGAAATGCTTTGAAAGTCATCGTTTTCTTTTAATATGCTTAAATGCAATAACCCACAAGTGTAGCAATCATCCTGACCTCGGTCTCTCTCTGTCGGTCTGTTCCTCTGTACTTCTCATATGATATGGAAACAAGTTACAGAATAAGAATATTTTTCTTTCATTTACGACGAGGATGTTTTTATCTCATTATGTCATGTTCCACAAAATTTATAAACAAAGTATGAGCTCATCATGTCCTGTTGTCTTACATTCTCTTGGTGACTGATGTACAACATTTTAATTGCCTTGTGGTCTATTTTCTAGGGGAAGTGCCTTCCCGGCTGCAAGCATAGCAAAAGATGAGAAATGCCTGTGGGATGAGAAGAAAAGACTGGCCATCTGTGGAGACTTCTGCGTTAGTCCAAATGTTGAAGGTGCAATCGTCAGCGGCTTGGCTGCAGCTTCAAAGCTGAAAGGCATGCTTAGGAGCCTATTCTGATTGTGCAGACTGCTTTCCATTCATGTTGGCTGCAACTGCTAGTCCATGTTATAATAATGATCGAGCAAACCGGATTTGGTTCTTCCAAAGAAAAATAAGTTTTCAATTGCAATAAGCTCAACTCAATGTTGAGCATGCAGGTTGGAATTATTACTATTTTATAATTTTACCTTAAATGTCTATCTTTTTTTTTAATGATTATTATAGCATATTCAATTGTTGAATTTTGTAAAGGTTAATTTCACGTTCTATGTTGTATTTTGTTTTACTTGGATTGATCCAACCCTCAAACTTTTTATTTTCATATTGATTTATTAAAAATTAGAACAGTTATCAGAACAAATCTTGGGCAGTAATGATGTCATTGATAATGGTAGATTTTTATTGAAGTGGGAGGATGTCATAGTCTCAGAGAGAATCATGGGAATCTCACATTGAAGAGATATGCTTCTAGGGAGTAAAGTTTAAAAAAATATTTACAAATCTTACATTGATTATATAGAATAGTGATATTGATCATTTAAGAGTTTACACTAGTTTCAATCTAGGAAATGGTTTTTATGGGCATTTAGTGGATATGATATGATAGCTAGGGACGTTAATGGGTGTTTAAATTCTTTAAATATTTGATTAAATTATTATTCGTTAAATATTTGATTAAAATAAATTTAAAATTACATATAGGATAATCTATTCCATTGACGAATAGGGGTGATTGAATAATTTAAAGATTTGCAAGGACAAATATGCAAATAATAAAAGCAAGTCCAGGTGGCAACAAATGAAGATGGGTATGGGGCTGTGAAGATTGTGTTGGAGAGCAGGAGGAGCTGGGATTCCTGATAACGTCTTGTCAGTTTGCAAACATAATATCCAGATAAGAGCCACATATGCATCTCCACGTGTCAAAATGACAGTCACTGCCTTGAGAATTTCCACGCTATTATCTGTTATTTACGTAGGCAAACGCAGGAACAAATCCCACATTTGGTGAGGTGAGTGTGAGAAGCAGAAGCATTTCCTAATAGCAATACTCAGAAATGGCAGCCTCAGTTATGGCTTCTTCAGTCAACCTCAAACCTTGTTTCAGTGTTGGGAAATCAGGTGTGAGAGGCGTCCCTTCCCTTGCCAGGGCTCCTTCTTCTTTCAAGGTTGAAGCCAAGGGTGGCAAGATCAAGACTGACAAGCCTTATGGTCAGTATCAATCTCTAATTTCTTCTAATTACCCTTTTTACCTCAAGTATGCTTGAAATTTTATAAAACTTTTAACGATGAATTTGCATGGTTTCACAGGAATCAATGGTGGCATGAGCTTGAGGGGTGGTGTTGATGCCTCTGGAAGGAAGGGCAAGGTTGGTATGTTGTTGCTTTTTTGTCTCTTCTTCTAATTGGATCTTTTCCTTCTTGTTCAGCAGCCAAACTCCTTACCATTTTCTTTCTTTTACCTCCTTTTAGCTTGATGTAATACAAATTGACAACATTCTTCTCATTCATACATTTGTGCCCAAAAAGAAGAGCAAAAGCCTATGAATAAGTTTTGATTCTTGTCAAAAAAAAAAGAAGGGTGGAATCTCTTTTTAAATTTCCTTTATAGTAATTATTTAAATGGTCTCTTAATTGTTATTATTAGGCAAAAATCAACAACTAATCCCCTTCAACTTTAGTATAAAAAGGTTGAAGAGTCTTGTTTAATTTGCACTTTTTTATACAATTCAGTCTTGAAATTGGATGTAGGGAAAGGGTGTTTACCAATTTGTTGACAAGTATGGTGCTAACGTGGATGGGTACAGGTATGATCTTCTGTTTTTAATTCAATAATAATGCTTATGCTTGTCATAATTCAAACATATAAATTTTAGTGTATATGGGATCTGAATATGTAGGGTAGAAGATGTAGGCTCTTTCATTCATATGAAGGAGAGGCCAATCTCGAGTGTTTATATAAGCTATAAGACTTGAACTAGTATTAAATTGGCCCAACTGTTCTCAGGTTCACTTCACTAACTCAAGTTTTGAAGTGAAATGTGTGCAACTCTTTGCTAAAACAAAACATTTATGTCTCCTACCAACATTGCTAAACTATAACCATTTAAATGGTCGCAACAATAACATTAATTTGGTCTGTTGCTTGCCTTGTATTGCTAAGTAAACAGTTGACATATTTCTTTCCAGAGTTTCCAATGTCTGGGTTCAACCATTGCGTATGAATTGTTTAAAGATATGCTTAACTACTGAAATGTTGTTGCCATGGAAGTCCTAATATCTTTTCCTGATGATTGTAACGCAGCCCTATCTTTGACACCAGGGACTGGTCTCCCTCCGGTGATGTTTATGTTGGCGGTATGTAGCCTTAGACACCATAAATTCAGTTGCAAGCCTGTAATCCCATTATTCAAAGTATTGCCATACTTTTAAAAACCAATATTGGAACTAATTATGTGATTTAAACACCGTTGCAGGTAATACCGGTCTGGCAATCTGGGCAGTCACCCTTGCCGGCATACTTGCCGGCGGTGCTCTTCTAGTTTACAACACAAGTGCTTTGGTACAGTAGATTTCTCTATTTTAATCGGTGTTGTATTATAGCCTGTCCGATCTAGTTGTTCAAATCAAAATACCTTGAAGGACTACTTTGCATTATCTATATGTATAACGTTTTTCCTTGGATTGAATTGAGGTCTAGTATTAGCTTTTACTGTGCTTTGTGCTGCATTTTTCAGTTCTTTTCCCTACCAAAAAATAAATAAATAAATAAATAATAAAAGATCATTGAGAGAAACCACTGATATTATCGTTGCAGAAGGTAATGGTGAAAACCTAGAGTAGATAAGTTGCTCATCCTTCCAGGCCATGGAAGAAGGTCATTATGGCCAAAGATAATCAAAGGGTCTTGCCAATGATTGGTGATGGTTTCAGAAAGATGGCAAAGTCATAAGCTCCTACCGTAAAGTGGGAAAACTATGCAGCAACAAATAAGATCGCAACACAACCATTAGAGCAAGAAATTTTCCACACTATAGATTACAGTGTAACCAAACCCCCCAAAATAATATGAAAGCAAACTTCAAGAAGAGTTGTATTGCACTACCAAACAAAGGTAATCGTAACATTTGATTCAAGGGGCTAATTTGGGATCCAATTGAAGCTAATTGAAGTTTTTGTTATTTGATTCAGAGGGCTTAATTAAAGATCCAACCTAAGATCAACAGTGGCAGATACTTGACGCTGAATTCCAATTTAATTTTAACTTCCATTTTGGTATCACAATGAGAAGGTTCTTTACTTCAATTTCCTAGTCAAAAACAGAAGAAGGGTCAAGGGGTTGGGGGAGGTAAAACTAAGAAGGTTGAAATTCAAATAAACAACAATTTAGAGTTGTACAATAGATGTTCTCTCCTGCAAATCATGGTTGATGTTTCTCCGCCAATCCACAAACAGAATACATACCTTCTTCCAAAGAATATCAGCAATCAGTGAAAACTCTCTGCCTCAGATCTAAAGCGCGAAGGCAAAACTAAAATATGGCCACCTCTGCTTTCAACTTCCACATTCATTTCCCTGCTTTGCTATTGAATGTTAACCTTGATAGCAAGGATGGTTCAATCTTATTAAATCTCTTCATAATTATTTTCATCTTGAGGAGGCTGTGACAAGCTCTTGACATGAGCTGAACTCAAATGTACAGTTCCATCAGCCATCATTGACCGTACTATCTGCAGATATGAAGAAAAAGAACAAGGGCAATTGTGATAATTGCAGCTGAAAAAACTGCTTCTAGTTAGTAGTCAGCCACAACAGACAGACGAATGGTCCATCAAAAGAGCAAAACTACAAGATAAGTGGGGCAGAATTGAATAAACCAACAACCAAAGAAATCTCCATTCCATCATACATAGGGAATTACCTTATTTTGACTGGGCTGTAGAAAGCATTTGTCCCCATTAATTTTGAATTAGCAGTGTGGTTCAAAATTCCACTTGTTAAAAGCAATTATTCTTACAATTTGTTTGGATAAAGGGAAGCTGAGAAAACAAAAAGTGAAGCAGAGCAATGTTGCAGAAATTCCTGTTTCGATGAAAAAATCAGGAGAAAAGTCATGTGAAGAGAAGAAGATGCAGTGTGGTTCAAAATTCCACTTGTTAAAAGCAATTATTCTAACAATTTGTTTGGATAAGGGGGAGTGGAGAAAAAGAGAAAGTGAAGCAGAGCAATGTTGCTGAAATTCCTTGTTTCAATGAAAAATTCAAGAGAAAAGTCAAGTGAAGAGAAGAAAATGCAAACAACTTATCACTAACAGGGCAATGGAGGAAAGAAAACTTAAAGACAAGAGATGCAAAGAAGAGAACTCAGTTCTGAGAGAGGAAAGGAAAGTGAAGGGGACAGGGAGGGGGGGGTGTTGGGGAGTCTGGAGAAAATGAAACCAGGAGAGCAAAAATTAAGAACAGGGGTTATTACTTCTGCTTTACTAACTTTCAAATATTGATAAAGGGGTTAGCATGTTCCTTCTCAACTAGTCATATAACAAAAGAATAAGAAGTTTGGAGCTTCATTTCCCATGAGTAGATTAAAGTGGACCAAGTTTCAATTAATAGCATAATAGAATACATATGTGTAGGGTGGAAGTAACCAAACCTTCTCTATTTCATCATGAAGAACAGGGTTGTCTCTCAAGTATTGTAGTGCTTTATCTCTCCCTTGCCCCAACCTTTACAAATATGCAGAAAAGAGGACCATAGTAAGTCTAACGTCTGTAACTCTGAGACAACTCAGAGCATTAAGGATGCTAGTTCAAGCAAACAAGTAAAGTCTTTGCAAAACTGTGAAAATAATTGAAAATATATAATCGCTGAGAGAATAGGAGACCGTAGGTAACACATCCATGCCACTAACCCAACCCAAGAATTAGCCTCATACAATAGCTGAATCTACCAGCCTGATATTTCCAATTAAAGTCCCAAGAAGCAACAATTTTGGTTGGTAGATGCTGAGCAAAAGAAAAAAAATTGGCTGGTAGACCAAATTTAATGTGTATGGGTACAAGTTTAACATATTTTATCAACTGGGAAAATATGTACTAGCCAGACTAAAACATATACTTAGCATTTAGTAACATAGGTTTTCTGGATGAGTAACACTGTCAGCAAGCACTTAATTAGTATATGTGCCACATGCTACCATGAACTCAAAATTAACTATTGCCAAGCCTCATTAAAAGGGATCTAGCCCAAACATCTTTAACAGAGTCCACCAGATGTATGGAGTGAAAAACACATTAGATACATTATTGAAAGACTTTTTGATCAATATGATTTTGACTATTCCTGAATTTTAAAATTATTCACGTCAATTATGAATACTTGATTTTCAATGTTTGACGACCACAGTGCAAAAGTTACTATTTCTTTTTCACCACAGCAGGTCAGACTCTAGAAGGCTCCTGGTAGAACCAGTCAACACACTCTTTTTCAAGGTCCCAGCTTGGGGGCTCCAAAGATTTCTCGTTCTCCTATTGTAGACACACATTCCATTTCCACCATCACCTTTCTTGAGAGAAGATATTGTTTTTTGTGCAACATATAAACTTTAGCATAGGGTCGCGTGGGGTGGAGATTGGGGATGAGAATGGTCAAACTAAGGATTTTCAATCACCAAGGCTACATTTTTTTAAATCCCAATTCCCTCCTTAAAAGAAATTCCCAAAGTGTAGTGGACTGACATATTTCCTAATAGTCTTGGTGAACAAATTTTTGACAGCACTAATTTTTTTGCAAGGCAACTAATAGTAATCATACTCTGAAAAATAGGGTCAAAAGCAAAATGCATCAATTTAAAGCAATGAAGAGAACTCCGCAGCTATTGTACGGGCAATTTGCTTATGTAAACATGCCTTGCCGAACAACAGCTACACAGGCTTAATTTGTAACAAACTTGCAAATACTTAACAGTAGTTCAAATAATTTGAGACAGTAATACTTAAAATCTTTGGAGCATGAAGAAGAACAAAAAAGAAAAAAGACCAAGCTAGTAATTTATGAGTAAATGTACTCAAATAGTAAATACCTTACTGCCACCCAGTATTGCTAAGTTATAACAAAGTTAAAATCAAATATATATTACTATGTTTAACTCTTAGGGATCAGCTTTTGAAATAATAAACAACAGAAACAGATAAAAAGAGATCTAAATCGCTCTTAACAGGTGAGGTAGCAATGGCAAGTTTGAAAGCAAACCTATGGTCCCCATAGCTGTACCAAGAGCCCTTCTTTACAACGACATCCATCATTTCAGCACAATCCAGAATGCATCCCTGTGGATTCTTTCAATGTCAAAATAAAGAGGAACCTTACAATTTTGGATGAATGTAAAACTTTGTATTGCCTTACTAACCAGTTTGCTCACTCCCTCTCCAAATATGATTTCAAACTCTGCTTGCTTGTATGGCCTTGAGACCTACAACAACAGCTAATTTCGGTTGGGCCACACATGTTAACCAGAAAAATAAAGTGCTTTCACGTCATTATGGGCATGGATATGATTTGACTTCTATGAAGGTTTATGTAAAATCTAAAGCAGCTTGAACAAGTATTTTACTGAAAGTTTACCACAGCACTGAATAATGAGGATAGTTTAGAGAATATTTGTTAATTATTATAAATTTAGAAATTTCTTTTTCAGAAAGCTTGATTCAAGAATAATATCGTAATTAACACAAAAAAGCATCAGATTTGATTTTTTTTTGTTCCTTTCTTTTTCCTGCTTTGGGGGCTATCCCTCATCTCTTCCCATTTTGGGATCATAGGACTTAAGAGTCTCCCTTGATTTTCTGATAAGAGTGATACCATAAGGCCGCAAGGGCCAAGCCTAGGCTACCCGAAAGCAATATAACAATTGCTAATGGTCTCTTGGCACCCATGATCATTATTTTATTTTAACCCTAACAAGTAGAATCAAGCATAATACAACTTCCTAATATCTTCAAATTCACAGATATAATTATCATTTACCTTACTCTTCTGCACTCTTACACGAACCCGAAGCCCAATATCCTCATCACCTTTAACCTAGAATAATATGAATTATGTTATGATGATGATTATATATTGAGTAATAAAACAGAAATCTGTAGTCGACGATCAAGTAGCTACTGTGCTTACAGACTTTATCTTCCCAGAAGGACGTATTTCAAGACGAACTGAAGCAAAGAACTTTAATGCAATTCCTCCACTTGTGACTTCCGGGTTCCCATAATATACTCCAATCTTCAGCAAAAGCAATACTATCAATTGGTAGACGGGAGAAAAAAAGAAAGAAAAGTAAACAGAAAAAGAAAATTGAAAAACACTATGTTATTCTAGTGTAGAAACATAGAGAGATGCAACACAATCAAAATGCATATAAAGATGTTCCAAACAAACAGTTTGAATTAGACACATCGATGGCCCCTCTATTACAACTGCAATTGCTTTTACTTCATCCATCAACAAGGAGCCAATTAATAATCAATCCAAAGTACCTTATATCTTATTTGATTCAGAAAAATTAGTGTACAACCAGCTTTAGAGGCATTTCCTGACATCTTACGTAGAGCCTGGCTCATAAGACGTGCTTGCAATCCCATTTGCTGCATCCCAATCTCACCCTATGAAATAAAATGCAACAAGAAAGAACTTAGACATGGGAGAGATCATAGATCTGATAAAAAAAAATACAATAAGACAAAGCAAAAAGAGGTGTACAAAAAGAAAAGAGAAGAAAAGGACAAGGTATATTACATGCTGATTTCTTACGGCTTGTACCCAAAATTACAGATTAGGATAATGTATTTGAAAATGGCATGTAGCCCTTACCTATTACATCAAACTCAACAATCTGGTCCATATTGTTAATGTCTACTGTAGACTCTAATAGAGATGTTGGTGTGCCATGAAATAGGAGTTTATTATTCCTAAAATATTGCAAAGATGGTTTTCTTCAAGGAGTTAAAAGTTAGAAAAATAAAAAGAAAGGGATATCAGTCAGCTAAAAAGATATGCAGAAGCATAACACCTACTAAACTCTATTCTGCACTCACTCTTTCTTCACCTTTTGCTATCTATCTAGACTATTTGTCTTTTTTCTCACCGTTACAGCATTGCTGGAAAATCTCTATGCCAGCAACGATCTCGCTCTTATTTTTCCCTCCTTCCTTACTTTCTCTCTTCCTGATTTCTACCCTTTCTTACTGACCATCTTGTTCGAATTACTAATTTGAGTTGACAAGCTCTTTATCAACCGAAAGAAATAACCAGAAACTCCAAAGAATTAAGGAACCAATTTCTAGAGGAAAATATCAAAGGGAGAATATTTTTTTTCCATTTTTATCCAATTTCAAAGCTATCCCATTTTGATCATTCATTACAAACCCAAGAATTCAAGATTGGTCCTTACACAAATTTAGACAAATCATAAACCCCGTCCTCAGAATTCCAATGCGTTTTTGACATGTTTAATCATCTTTCAAATCAAGGTCTCTTTGATGGATTCTGTTTCAGCTTATTCGAATGTTGTATTTTTCATGATAGTTTTGTTGGTAGGTGTTGTTATCATTTATGGACTTGTTCTAATAATTTTGAGGTTATAGTTTTCATCTTCAACAAGTTTCACAGTAGGTGTTCAATTGCACATGTTCTTGAGGTCCTTTTAAGGTGCTCTGCTTGTTAGCTAGGTGTTAGCCTCCCTTCCAGGTCTGTACCGTCCATTCATTACACTACTTGATCTGTTTGTCTCATTATTGTTGAATCAAATACAGAATCATGCTGAGCAAAAAACATCAAAAGAAAATAAAGAGTATCCACATCCTTCTGGGAAGGGTGCCTTTTGACTTGAAACTGATGGATAATAGGGATTACGTGGGGGATTGAAGTTTTGTGAGTAGAAAGTTATTCAGTAAACCGTAATGATAAAAAAGCAATTTATTTTCAAAGTAAAAATAAAAAGATGGAAAAAGTGAGCATACTTCAATCTCTGCTCGTGGAGTGAGAGCTGACACTGAATCAACGCAAATTAAATCAATGGCACCAGATCTGCACATACGATCTGCAACTGAAAAATAACATTTTAATTAGTCTTATTTGTTGAGCTTGTATGTATAGCAAAAATTTTAAAGCATCATGAAGGTGCTGTATCAGTTACAGGCTTGCTCAATCATGACCACTTTCCACACAATGGCATAAAAGAGGAACAAAATAGATTACTTTCTAGTGCCATTTCCCCATTATCTGGCTGGCAGACAATCAAATTTTCAACATCCACTCCCAATGCTTTTGAATATGCAGGATCAAAAGCATGCTCTGCATCAACAAGCATTGCATTGCCACCCAGCTTCTGCATAATTAACATAAAAACACAGCATATAGTATTTCATTTCATTGACCCTTTTGTTAAATAATAAAGCAGAAACCAAACAGCTTAAGAAAGGCCAGAAAACTATCAACCTGCACTTCAGCAATGGCATGGAGTGCTAGGGTGGTTTTTCCACTACTTTCTGGTCCATATACCTGCCAAGTTATACAGCAGATATTATGATGCCATTCAAAGCAGATTTTAATATGATATTGAAATTAAAACATGATGTGCCTAATGTCATGAAACACCAAGCAGGAAGACATCGGGAAGCAAAGAGGTGTTAAAGGAAATAAAAAGTCAGAACCATGGTTCACTACAACATTCTCCTTTTTGTAAGTTCTCTGATTCCCTAAGTGAATAGAAATGGATTTTGTCTCATGAAAAATTTGTTTCAAATGTTTTATCTTCATGATAATATGTTTCTTGCTTTATAGACATCATATTCATGGTTGAGTCACCACTTTTCTCCATATGACATTGAGGTCAAATCACCAATTCTAGCTGACGAAGGGCTCCAAAAGGACCAAAACGTCCAAATCTACAGCGTGAATCCATGATTACTTCGTGCTGGTTGTAGGTCTGTAAAATACTTGAGAAGAAGCACCAATACAATCTAATCATGCAGGTATAGGAAGAAAATCTATCTCTTTTTCAGTATTCTTAATTCAGTCAGAAATTTAAGCAACCAAAGTGTGGGGCACACCAATTAAATCAACTAAAATCAAGGGTCACTTGACATCAAAGGTTGCATCATAATGGTGCTTGGCTAGATAGTTAGACCTTATGTTTCAGTGTAATATGCAGTAGCAGAACAGCAATCTCATAAAATATCGCACAAACTTTCGTTAGAGGTACATTCTTTAGTGCCAAGTCTCAACTTTGAAGACTGGTTTGCAACCTTGCTAAAAAGTTTTACATTTACTCTTTTAAGCTTTTACTCTCTGTGCTAATTCCCTAATTTTTGCACTGAATTCGCTTTTTTGCTGCTTAAACCAAAACCCCTAATTTCAAATGTCCTAATCACTGAACCTTTTCTGAGAGCAATTACTCAATTTGAGCACCAACAGACATTGTTAAACGATATCAAAAGAACAGGGAAAAAGGGAGGACATGTTTTGATATCTATTTCCACTTCTGTATGTGTCCAATATGGATTCATTAGAAAAGTTGAAAGTTGCAGTGACATATTTATGGCCTAAGGGCCTTTGCAGTCATGAAATAAGATAATGGACAGAAACTTTTAGGAGTAATGTCAAACCGGTTTGTCAATTATCAATCTGTTTATTATTTTCTTATGAAATGAACGATGCTTTAAGAATATTTTTACTTTATATTGTTCAGTTAATTCAATTAACAACACCATGGATGGCACTTTAAGTCAGTTTTTCAGTTTCTCGTAATAAAAAATGTAAGTTCAAGAAACTTATTGACAGATACAGGGAGTTAGAAAGCTGAAATTGAAAGAGCAAGAAAGACATCATTAAGTAAATTCTGTGAATTGTCCTTAAGACAAATAAGTATGTCACAGCTTACTATTTATGGTTTAAAGTGTTCCTGTATTCCCTCCTTGTCAGTTAAAGTGTTTCCCAATCCTAATCCACAATTTCTACTTTGTGTATAGTGTTCAATCTAAAATCCAGAATCAGTTATAAGTTCACTTTTTTCCTCTTTACCATCTTCAAAAGGAACATCAAACTGTTAAAAACTACCAAATGAACATCCAAACAGCCTAACAGAAAAAACCAAATAATGTTCATGAAATAATAAAGTAAAATTGTAACAGAATAGAAGATGCATGATAAAAATGGAGGACATTGATACCTCCACAATTCTTCCTTTGGGAAGACCGCCACCTAAGGCTAAATCTAGGGTCAAACAACCACTAGGAAAAGTTTCACTGTAATGGACAAATTGTTACCAAATGAAGTCAGAATAATTATAATTCTATTTCAAACTCTATAAAAAAAGTGGCATTACTGAATTTTGACATATTACTTAAACTCACAAGAAGCAGGAAAAATAAATTTTTCCCCATCTTAACAAGAATTAAATAAGGAACAAAAATCTGAGCTCAACATATTGAAGCAAATGAATATGAGAGTTTGTTAACAACAAATACAATGTTATTGCAAGTTAGAAAACATACACAAGTGCTCCACCTGCGCTCCCCAATCTTGTAACACTTCCTTTTCCAAAAGAACTATTTATATCATTCATTGCAGCCTCCAATGCTTTTTGCTGGCATTAAAACATATATGATACTAAGCATGCAAAACATGATAAATAATGACCAATATATACAACAACATAAAACAAAGTGGGTGGACAATTTAGCCTAAAGTCTACCATTAAGGCACTTTTGCTCTTGCATTGTGCTTGCTAAAAGTTGCTATAAAGCAAAGGCAGATGATAGAAACCAAAACCATGATCGATTAATAATGAACAAATGAATAAAATAAAATACTAATTCCAATTTAACTCTTCTATATAAAAGAAAAACAATATAGTTTAACATCTAAAGCAAAACAAAGACATTTTTAACTTCCAACTCTCCAAAAATGCTAATCTACTTTTATACCCAAATGCTGTCTTCACTTTGGCTTACCAAAAGCAACAAACCAAACAGCAGACAAAGAAATTACAGCCAAGTTTTAAATGGGCAATTCATACTTGCTGAGCCAAGAAAGCAACAAAAAAGACGAGCTCTAAATAGTTAAACTAGCATAGCAATGAAAAGAAGACTTTCAAACTATAAACAGAAGTAACAGAAGAAAGCATAAAAAAAAAAAAATACCCGGTCGAGGAAACGGGAGTCAGAGTCCGGAGAGAAAGCGCCATTAACTCTAGGTTCGAATTCACAGTGAACTTTTCTGAGTCGTTTCTTGACGGCTGCCAACGGCAAGTGGGAGAAGGTGAGAGGTGGGCGTTGTCGAAAATGGCTATGGAGGGGAAGATAGCGGTGGTGAAGTTTCAGTTTGAAGGGGGAAACTAAAGAAGAATCCATGCTACTGCAATTCATTGCTAACAAAAGTTGAAAGATTGAAGAAGCAGTCTTCAGCTCCTGTTGGGCGCGGGGGTTTATGAATGTATATGCTTGTTTCTAGCTTCTCCCCAAAGTCTCTATAGATTTTTTTTGGACTTGTTAGTACAACCATGTTGAAGTAGCCCAAGGGGCATGGATTTTTGTAAAAAGAAAAATAGATTTTTCATCTTTTAATTTATTTTGATGAAATTTCCTAATTATAATTTTTTTGACAAAAATTAGGGATTTATAGTATTAGTAGTAATATCCAATAATATGAATCTTTTAAAAAAAATTTAAAGTGAGACTTTTTGAAAAAAAAAATTAAGAGAAGAGAAATTGAAACTCTATTATCTGGATTAGATATCATATATCAACCAAAGAATTTTAAATTAAGATTTCATTTTGAAAATCTTGAAACATGCAAAATGAAATTTAAAAAAAAATTATTTCATATTTGTTTGTTTATTTTGTTATAATTAAATTTATACTATATCATTAGATCATCCTAAACTTGAGTATAAAAAAGAAATCATATACAGCTATAAAAATTATCTGATTAAAAGAAATTTGACTTATTGTATATTTCATTGCTTTCTATTGCATATACACAAAATAGAAGTGAAAAAATTATTTCTCTTAATTCCAGCAACAAGTAATTTTAATTTTAAAAATGTTGAAAAATCTACTCATCATAAATGCAATCTTCTCAAAAAGTTCTAAATATGAACAACACAACATGCCCAACCTGTTTCTTTATTGGGTTTTACCCACAAGAAATTGAATAAAGTTACCTTACTTTACAAGTTAAAAGCAAAAGCACCAATATGGTTATAGCTCTAACTAAACTAGATGGAGCTCCAATGAAAAACCATATTAGAATTGACAGACAAAAGCTCTAATTGAACCACTTAGAGTTGTGATAGAAAACAAATAAAAACTCTAGTGTTGTTGTTCTAATTGAATTGGTTAGTGTGTCAATGCAAAGCTAATTATAATTAATTTTTTTTAAAAAAAAAGCAACTATAATTAAATTTTCAATCAAAAGCTCTATAATTGTAGCTCTAATTCAGCTAGTTAGAGATTCACTGTAAAACTATATCAAGATATTCATGCATTCTTTGGGGAAAGGAAACTTGTTTTCCTCCCTAGTGCCAAGACCAATTATCTCTAGGACTCATGCAGATTTGATTATAGTCTTGAGCACATGTACCTCTTCTTCGTATCCATGAAACCATTCACTTTTTAACTGTCTTAGATGGGTCAAGAGGCATAGAGGTAATGGATCATATAACCAATCCTCTCTCTCACTTACAAAAAATTATCATAAACCTTTATCATAGAAAGATTGTCACATAGAAGGAAAGTTGGTTGTGATGCATATAGGCCAAGCTCTTGGAAAAGGTAAGATATTCATGTAAGTTCAGCTGTTGTGGAAGTTAATAACTTGTATATGTTGCCTCTGCACTTGATATTGTTTCTTTGAGCTCCAGGAGATGCAGCTACCACAAAAAAATGCGCAATATCCTATTGTGGATCTTCTGCTTAGTGGGCAACTACCCATTTTGCATCCATTACAATACCTCTACAAATGAGGAAGAAAGGGATGAAGCAAAACTGAAGAAGAAATCCATCCATTACAATATCTTTAAAAATCTAAGTTGAGAAAAGAAAAAAGTCAAGAAACATGAGGGAAAACCAGGCCAACTTTTCTAGAAACACAACTCAAGCAAAACCTTCAAAAACAATATCATTTTAGATTATATTTATAATCAGCTGTTATCATCATACCCTGTGTAGAAAAGTCATGAATGACAGTAGCAACATAGGAAATGAGAAAATAGTTTGCATGTAAGAAGTATTATACTTTAACTTAATTAGTTAGATTGTAGTTAGCAATATCAACTATAGTTTGAGACTTTTGTTATTTTTGTCAACTATAGTTTGAGACCTTTGTCTTATTGTGAATGTAGGGGATGTAAGCAAAATTGTTATAAGAAGTTTACTGATTTGTATCATAAGGATTGTGTTTTCTATTTTCTGAATGGATTGAATACCTCATATGTAACACTAAGGTCTCAAATTTTATTGTTGAGGCTATTTTCCACCTTGAATAAAGCTTATAATTTAGTACTTCGTGAGGATTCTCAAAGGTCTTTGTTAATGCAATCTCAACCATCAATAGAAGCTTTTGTTATGGTTGTTGTTTCAAACAATAAAAAGAAAGCTACGGGTAATCTGGTTTGTGGACATTGTAGAAAGAAAGGCTATACCAATGATAAGTGTTACATGCTTGTGGGTTTTCCTGAAAACTTCAAGTTCTCTAAGTTCAAGAGTAATTTCAGGAAAAATGTAGCATCACTTAACACTGTTATTATTAATGCTTTAGAGGATTAAGATGATGAAAGTGTTCTTGGTCTTGTTTCACAAATTTCTCTTACAAAAGGTCAATTTCAAACTTTAATGGCGATGATCATTGCACATGAAGGACAAGCAAGTGAGAATGAACGACCTACATTCACTCAACATAACAGTAAGCCCTTTCTTGTGAACTCTACTCTTTATAGTTATGGTTTCTAATCCAACTTGTTTGTCTGCCATTAATTCTATTTTACATCCATATAAATTGTTGCTTAAAAATGACACTTGGATATTAGACACAGGAGCCACTAATCATATAGCTTGTTCTTTGCATCTGTTCAAGTCTTATAAACCAATTAACAATTTGTTTGTTAATATGTCTAACAAAACCAAGGCCATTGTTTCACATGTTGTAACAATACAACTATCCAATAATTTGATTCTTGAAACTATGCGTTTAGTACTTTCCTTCAATTTCAATTCGCTCTCAGTGAATCAATTTACAAAGCAAAAGAAACATATCCTTATTTTTATTGATATTCATTGCCTTATCCGAGAAACCAGTTCATGGATAGTGACTGGTCATGCTAAAGCCATAGCTAGCTTGTACATCTTGCAAAAAGAATTGAATGCCCAATTATCAGCATAGTTCACTGAAGTTTTACATTCTGTTTTACCAAATAAGGTTTCTAATATTACTTCACATTAACAAAATGTTTGTTCATTGCCTTTGAAGTCTGTAAATACTCGTACAACTTTGAATAATTATTTTGATATACAGCACTTTAGGTCGTATATCGACACAAACGTTGAAGATGATTCATGAAACTAGCATTGATGTGAATCTCAAGGAAAGTTTTCAATGCAATATTTGTTCTTAGGCAAAACAAAAGAGACTGCATGTTAAAAACACAGCATTACCTTTTGAATTAATTCATGTTGATATTTAAGAGCCTTATTCAACTTCTACTTTTAGAGGACATCATTATTTTTTAACCATAGTTAGATTACTTTATTAGATATACATAGATATATCTTATGAGATTAAAGTCAAATGTTAGTAATAGTTTACCTCTTTTTTGCAAAAATGGTAATTAATCATTTCAATAAACATATTAAATGCATAAGGGCTAAAAATGGATATGAACTTAATTTGACATATTTTTTTTTTTTCAGAAAATGGCATTGTGCATCATTTATCATGTGTCGATACATCCCAGCAAAATGGTATAATAAAAAGAAAACATCAACATCTTCTTAACATAGCTAAAGCACTTCTTTTGCAAACTTCATTATCTATTTCTTTTTAGGGAGATGTTGTCCTTACTACTACTTATATTGTGAACAGGATTTCTTCTCCCATTATAAAATATAAAACACTATTTCAAATTTTATTTCAAAACCACCTTCTTATTCTCATTTTCAAGTATTTGGGTTCTTGTGTTTTGATTGTATCTTGTCTTATAACAAGAAGAAATTTGAACCTAGAGCTGTATGTTGTATTTTTCTTGGTTATCCTGTGAGTGTCAAAGGTTATACATATTTTTTATCTTACAACTCACAAGTGTTTTATTTCCAAAGATGTTATTTTTCATGAGAATATTTTTCCCTTTCACAAATCAAATACTATACCTGCTTTTCCTAATTTTCATCATTTTATTATACCATAACCCCTTTATTTTATGCTTGATTTAAATGCTCTTTCATCTTATTTATATACTGCTTCAACTACTGCACAAACACCTTCAATTCAAATTGATCAAGAACCTATTTTACTTATTGCTGAACCTGTTTCACCTAAATCAAACTTTAATATCACAAATCAAGACACTGATTCATTGGGGTGGAGCTAGAACATTTTTAAAGGGGGAGCCAAACAGAAAGAGACATTAAATGGTTAAAAAGAACTTTATATTTAATTCAAAGACATTGGACATACAAAAAAATACACATTATCAATAATGATGGTATCATTTATATATATATATATATGATTAGATGGAATTATAAAAAGAGTCTCTATCACTCTTTGTGTGTAAAAATGAACCAGAACACAATTTTTTAAACTCAAATAAATTACCTTTTTAGTTTGTGTGTTCTAGCTCTTATCTTATTTTTTATTTGTCTTTTAAATTGCTAATTAACATATTGAATTATTGGGTTGAACTATTTAGATGTAATATATTATGATAGGTTATTAGGTTAGACTGTTAAAATATAATATGTCATGATAAGCTTAGATTTATATTAAAACTTAATGGGTTTGGATTAATAGACTCACTTTTATTTTTTTAAAAAAAAATTGATAGGCTAAACATATTAGTTTAGAATTTATTTGCTGAATTTAACTAGCAATATGCTAACTATAATGACTTTGATTTTGTCAAATAGTTTGAAGATTAAAACTAATTATTAAATAAAAACTTATTTTGAGGGCTATTAAAAATATATAATAATAAATAAAATTGTATTGAAAGAAATACAATTATTTCATTTTATCAATTTGTATGTATATTCTTGTTACTTGAAGTTTGCAACATACATGTTAAAATGCATTGGTTATTCTGAATAAAAATTGATATATTGATAAAATTCTAAGCAACAGTATAACATTGCAACTTATATTTGAAAATTACATAATAATTTAATTATTTTTAAAGCTTAAAATCATAAAAAATAAAATTCACATAATAGAAAAAAGAAAAACATGAAAAATAGAAGATAGAATTCACATATGACATAATAAAAAAGAAAAAAAAAGAATATGATTGA